TTCATGTTATTATGATATTTTCCTCAATAATTGCCTGCCCTTTTGAAATAGCGCTTTTCAGTGTAGGTATTTAACTAATGATAACTTCGATCTTTATTCGATGATCCTATTTTTCGGATATTCTTCTCTAGCTCTGAAAATAGCCTGCTGAAGCGGAGAAGGAATGGTCAGATGTCGTTCCCCGTTCTCGGGCGTTGTTGTTGTTGTTGTTGGACGGTCCCATCGCTGCGGATCTGTGCCATGAGCCCATCACGACATAGCTGACTCAGGCTCTGCTGCGCTGTGGTGTCCAGTGTTCACTGGCCGCGTCACTGAACCGGCCACAACTGGCCCGTGCACACACCGTCCGTAATAGACCGTTTCCACCGCCCTCGCCGGCGCGGCGCAGTGGCTGGCCGCTGTACATACATACATACATACATACATACATACATACATACATACATACATACATACATACATACATACTCCGCTGCGCCGCTCAGCGCATTTCATTACATCGCTGCGCGGTATGTTATCACCTCACTACGCGTCATCACATCACACACTGCGCGGTATGACGTCACATCATCTCACATGACGTCACATCATCTCACATGACGTCACATCACTGCTTGGTGTGACGTCACGTCATTGGCTGTCCTTCCCCCCCCCACCCCCACCCCCACCCGTGTGCCCGTGTGCACACTTGTGCAGTGAGCAGTGCGCAGTGGGCACGCTGGCAGCCTGCCGCGGCACATGGGACACAACTGTGATCCCCTGGTCCCGCATGGCGTTACGAACCTCCCGTATCGGGATTCTGCTGAGCAGTGACCAACGAACCGCTCTTGCCGGGATGCCGCTGACCGCTACTGCCGACCGCTACCACCTGCCATTGTGACACTCGCTATAATGTTTAGGCGGGCTGATGTTTGATGTTTGTCTTGCTGTGTTAGCTGGGGTGATTGTGTGCGCATGCAGGCTGAAGGGGTGTTAAGTCCTTGTGCCGGTGGCCGGGTGACGTCACAACAGTCGAGGTTCCCGCCGGGTCGGTCTGACGGCGGTCGGCGGCTGACCAGGGCCCTGTTTCACCGGTGATAGCAGCAAGCTGCTATCACGTTTCGCGAGCTGACGTCATGTCATGACGCCATACTGCTGACGTTATGGGCAGTTCCGGCGCACGATGGCCGCGACCTTGGCCGCAGCATTAAGTGACGTATGAGACTAATAGTAAGAGTTTACGCAGTCATTCTAGTATATTTATTTTTATTATATATTTTTCTTAATATGATGTATTTAAAAGAAGTTAGGTTTAAGGAAAATTTGGACGTAAACTTCGAACATTTAGTTGATGACGTAAAACAATATTGCGGCAATCGTGCGCCAGAATTGCCCCTTACGTCAGCAGTATGACGTCATCACATTACGTCAGCTCGCGCAATTTGATAGTGGCGTGCTGCTATCACCGGTGAAACAGGGCCCAGGGGTCAGCGGGGTCGGCCGCCCGGTCAGTCAGCAGTGAGACCGCCAGTCGGCTGAGTCAGCTGCTGGCTCAGCTGAGTCAGCTGCTGGCTCAGCTGAGTCACCTGCTGTCTCAGCTGAGTCACCTGCTGTCTCTCCTTTGTCTCAGTCGCGGCGAGTATAGACCTATTACACTGGGCCGACCTCAGCTGACGGTTTACGTCATAGGCACTACAATGGGAAAAACAACGCGATGCTCCAATGCATTGCACCGCTGTAACGTCTTGCTCAAAATCAACAAACAATATGTATCATTATTCAACGATAACGTGCTTCGGTAAAACAGTTAAGTTTAGATAATGGCTGTGATCGTGGCATGTGGTAGCTGTCAGGTTCCGTGATGTATTTTGCTTTTCTCGGTTTTATTTCTCGATATAATATATAATCGTTTTAATTGATTTCTCAAATGTTTGAACATAGTGAAGGGCGTGCTGGTCTTGCAATGCTGTTGATCCTTATGTCAACGTTGAAAGTTCCCCGCTGATTCCCGGTTTTCAATTTTTCCCATCTGTATGCACTTCTCCAATTTTTATATCGATAAATTTTGTTGCCTAATAATGTATCTTGTAGGGAAAGTGGTGTGTATTGCGCCTCCTAACCAATTGCGCCCACCAACATTCCCACGGATTCAGTGGCATGTTTAGATTTTTGTGTTCGAAAATATTTTCACCACTGGATAGTCATTTTATGGCCCAAACTCTCTGATGAAGCCATAGCAAGGCTCATTACGCCATCAAAGATTTTTTGGCGTTTTCTTAACTTTTTTGCAGTATTTTGAGCCGTTGGCTATACAATTTGCGATATTTGTGTGATTTCAGAGTGATATTTAGAAAGAAACCCATTTTTTCATTGTATCACTGAAACAGTAAACATTCTTCAACATCTTTATGATAACTCTACGCTTTTATTAAAAGTACCTCAATTTTAATTGCGCCCATGGCAATTGCGCCAGGGGGCGCAAATAGAATAATAGTGTAGTTTATATCACGACAGTATGAATGCATCATTAACTGATTGCAATAAAGCAGGAGCTTGATGTCAGGCAAGGGAGCAGCCCGCTGTCGTCATCCGCAAATTATTTCTCTCGTCAAACACTATAATGCAGCTGCCATTTAGGCTACGGCTTGTGGTGTAATGGACAAAATACGACATTTTTAACATGGACTTAGGCGTGAGAAGTGACAGCTATGATAAAAAAACTAAAAACTGATGTCATTAAGTTTTCAAAACGATAAAATGATTAATTTTGCGAGAAACGATGAAATTTAACTGTATAGCGCACGATCACATATATCTAGTCGGTTACAGTAAACGTTTTTGTTGCACTTTACAAGCGTACGGACATGTAAAGTTATCTACCTGGGCAAAAAACATCGCGATTTATATCTACATTTATTATTTAACCAGCCTGAAACATTATAAATTTTAAGTAAGCCGCAATGACATTAGACTGCCGGGGTGTATGCATTCCGTCTCAATTAATCACTTAGCCATATTAATTATAGGGCGCAATTGGGTTCTAATTGCGCCATCCCCCTGGCGCAATTTACAGCAGTTGTTGGCAAATGCGCCCTTTTGCATGTTTCTGAAAAAGCAGCTGTCAGAAGCAAACGAAACATTCTCAATTGATCGGGAGGCTCTTAAATCGTAGCCAATGGTTCCTCTTTGAAATGGTTACCAGTGCATGCTTATATCTCCAGCGGTTTTCTTACAATTAGCGTTTTTCGTTAAGGTGGCGCAATTCACCCTCCTTCCCCTATGCATTCTTTATATATTATTAGGAATACTATTTTATGTAAATATAGATTGCTTGATTTCATGGGACGAAAGGAAAATTTGCCTACTGTGACGTTACTGTACCCCTCGGGTGAAGACCTCGGCTAGCATTATTGCCCTCGGCTACGCCCTAGGCAATAGCCAAAAGGTATGTTTCGGTCCCCCCTCGGGTTACAGTGACGTCACATCGGGTGATCTAAACCACTATTGCCCGTTGTCCTCTTACTGACCGACATACCTCATGTTTTTTCTGAAAAATAAGAGGCTCTGTGATTGGTTTATCACGAGAGAATATAACTCTTCCAAACAGGGCTTCTGTTTTGCCCCGTTTCTCAGTATCGCGACATTTCCTTCTGTGCCTCTTTTTCCATTGTTGTTATTCTATATCCTGCGACATTATGAACATTTTTTCGCAAAGTGAAATGTGTCTGAGTGTAGGTATGTGAGCGTATGCAGTAATCTACAGTTTCAGGATGGCCAGCGAGAAGGGCTCCGCCAGTACACACTGCAAACGAGTAAGCATTGCGTCTCGCTTCGATAATTTTATTCGACTTATAAGGTACCAGCCTAAGCTTAGAATTATGGACCTTAGCTGTCCTCCAGTTTTGCCGTTATCGGGGTGCCGTTTGTCTCTGCGCTATGTCCACATTACACTTCACTATCGGCCCGTGTGTTCAGGGATAAAGTCGACAAACACGGCACGCTAAAGTGGATTATCTCGGGTCAATGAGCTCTCGTGTCGGCTGATACTCGGCACACAGACCGGCCTCGGTGGACTGAAATAGCCGCTCGGTGCGGGGCGCTGGCGATAGGCCCTCGAGTGAGGCGCCCGATGACCCGGGTCGAGTGGTGTCCGGTGGACCCTGCAGCGTCTCTGTGTGCACTGCCGGTACGACTCGACTGTCGGTGGGCCGCTATATCGGGCCGCCGGCAGAAGGCCGCTGTCCCGGCGTGCTCCGCCCCGTGTCCGCGCTGTGTCCGTGTGCCGACCGGCCGGTGTGGACGGCTGCAGCTCGCTCGGCGGCGGTCGCAGCTGCGCCGGCGCCCTGGCTCCAATCAATACCTGGTGCGGCCGGCCCGATCACATGCTCGCGGCCTGATCGAGGCGTGCCCGGCCCGGCGGCTGTTGTGTGCTGCGCCCGGCGGTCAGCAGGCACGGACGGACAGTGGGGAGGTGACCTGCTGGAGGCGCAGTTGCCCGGCGGAGGTCGGTAGTGCGGACGGCTCGAGTGGCAGGACGGTCACAGGCAGCTGGCGGAGGACTGGGGTCGACCGCAGAGGTGGGTACGGGAGCGCGAACGCCGGCGCGCCAGCCAGCTCTTTGTCCTCGGCGGCTGACTCAGAGACTTTACTGGAGAGCTTTTTGCTTATTTGGTGTTACTTCAAGTGTTTTTTTTTAACATGATGCAATTTTTAGTTGTACTACCGATGAAATTGTTTGATAGGAAGCACCTGGCGCACAGTCGGTTTTGGGTGCCTTTCGATGTTCGGCGAATTTTTCATTTTAAAGGCAATAAGGGTAAATTTTATGCGTAATGAAAAAAGTGCAAAAAAGTTGACACGGTAGTCAGAGGTGTGCATGGATAAAATTGGGCATGGGATCCGATCCCACGGATCTAATCTCAGTATTTCCCAATATTTTCCACGGAGAGTATAAGCAATGCTATATTGATGTGATTTACTTAAATCGATTTTATGACTATTCGGAAAAAAATTACAGGTCTTCGCTGCATTTACTTTCTCAACCTGTCTAGTTTCATAAACTCGCCCGAAATGATATAAGACTATCTCAAGCATATGGAGTCGCTCTTCATAAATACTCCTTGCGAGGTTTGTTGCTCCACTACGTTTTTGGCCTTGAGTGACGTCACACTAAGGTCATCGGAGTTTTTTTTTGTCAATAACTCGCACCTAATCCGAGTTAGCGAGCCAGGAAAGCACCACACTGGACTCGGGAAGACCTGCCAAATCCAATGATGATATGCTGCAGATGGCCTTCCCCGACCAACTCCGTGACCAGACTCAGAGGCGGATCCAGCTCAGAGTTGGGGGGGGGGGGGCAAACCATAACAATTTATCGATTCTTTCCATGCATCGTCCATAGGCGTAGTGTTAAAATCATGCCGTTGGGGGGGGGGTGGGGCAAATGCCCATTTTGCCCCTCCCCTGGATCCGCCACTGACCAGACTGACTTTGGCCTGACCTGGAACTGAGATCAACACTGTTACTGGACCTCACCCAAACTAAAAACATAGCATTCGACGCGCCTGGCCATTACTAACACGATGGTGTTAAAATTGTGTTTTTTAACATTTTTGGCCAAGATATTAGTTAAAAACCAATCCCTACCTCAGACACTTGACCTGACCTCAGAAGTCCCGGACCCCGGTGACATTAGACCTTAAGATCTACATAAGTGCCAGTCGTCGCGTCTCGTAACGGCGAATAGACTCTTTTTCCGCCGGCGAGGCTATAGCAATAATTCTGACTAAGATGGGATCTTCGTCAATAAATGAGAATTGGCAGCAATTGAACCTAATAAAACTGTTATTTTTTGTCAACAATATAACAGGGTCGCCGACTTCTACATTTAATTTTCGTCATCTGCATGGACTGATTGATATTCGTTTCCTTACATCCATTACATGAGTCGCATCACGTTTTATGTTTATGGTTAATGCGAGCTCTTCTGTGTGTGCTTGTCTCGCAAGTGCCGGCACCATCTGGCCGAGAGAGCTGTAATCGGTGCCGAGCACCTGTGCTGTGCGATACACACGCGCCCCTCCCACCTGCCGCGCTCCGCTCCCAACAGCCGCTCCCGTCCGAGCTACTGTGCCCCTCCCAACAGCCGCCCCCTCCCAACTGCCGCGCTCCGCTCCTCTCCTCTGCCTCCTCCTCTCCTCTCCTCTCCTCCCTCCTCTCCTCTCTCCTCTCCTCTCCTCTCCTCTCCTCTCTTCCTCTCCGCTCCTCTGCGCTCTCGGTGCCGGGCGCGGCCCCCACAGCTGCACGGGCCCATCGCGCGGCATATCACACTATACGAGTATAGCGGTATAAGGGGAGAGCGCAGTCGATCTCCACTGCCGGCGAAAATGTCGCGGCATCTGTCTCCACTGCAGTAACCAAAACCATGTTGGGTTCGGATGACGCCGTCCCTGTGATGATTGTTGCTACCAGCGACTGATGTGGCTTCGTAGCCCGGCTATGTGTCTGATAATGGGCAGAGGGTCAGCTGGACGGCGTTTGCAAGGCGCGAAAGGTCATCTGACACCCCCCTCCCTCAGCTCTTTAACCTGAAATTAATGCTTCTCAAAATATTTGCTGTTGCACCATTATTTTTTTAACGTACCGCAAATTTTGCAGGAATTAGTGTGATCGGTTAGTTGCTCGCTTATTTATTTTGCAAACCATTCGTGTTTCAATCTTGCCACGAAAATAGTCTGCTTCGCTGTTGATTCAAAATATGAGGGGTACCTGAACCATAAACCTGCAGCAAGACTCAACCTTGGCTTCCGCTGTCCGATACCTGGGTCGGAATGGCATCCATGCGTGAGCATCATTTTGACGCACGATTTGAGCGCGCTGGGTGTTTTCAATGAGCAGTATGGAGTCTGCGGCTGTTCGGATGCGCGCCGCGCTGGATTTCGTCCAGGTCGTGTCGGAAATGGCTCACGTCTATTCCGATAGCGGCCAGCGGATGGACTGAGGCGGTTCGGTCGGGTGGAGACTGTAGAGTGTAGAGCAGGACGTCCTCCCTCCGCTCCGGTATCCGCCGTACCCGGGACCGTGGCCTGCAGTTGAGCGCAGCGCCTGTCAGGGGGCCGGCCCACTGCGCAGCGCCCCCTCCCCTCCCCGCGGCGCGGGCCGGGCCGGACCGGCCGGCCCGGGCCGGGCGCCTCGGTCGGTCGGTCCGCTGTGGCGCGCCAGTCGGCGCCGCCGTGTGGTGGGCGTGGGTCGGAGCACGGCACAGTGACACCAGCGCGGCCGCCGCCGAACAGTGACGCCGTGCCCTGCCGGGGTCACAGAGTAGCAGCGACCTTTCGCCAGCTGGGGAAGGGATTGTACGGCCATCATGAGGTAATTGGTAAACGTTGTGATTCCGGCAGGTAACTGTCATTAGTCATGTCATCAGCTGGTTAACTATAGTTCCGCTGTGTTCGCTCCATGTTCACATGGGAGGTGTGGTGTCTGATGCTAGCGGGCTGCTATTTGATGATGATGACATATGCTGAGAGCAATTTAGCGAAGCGCTCCCCAATGCCCATTGAACATTCGACTTCAATCTGCGAAGGATAATATGCAATTGTATAGTGCATACATATGTATATCGCCTCTTTTTGTGTGTGTGTTTTGTCTCTCTACGGTTTTATGGTCTTCCTTCTCAGTATGTCTATCTAATTCTTAGTTTCCTCGTTTATCTTTTTCACGGTAGGTACCTATGTATGCATTACAGAACACCGCAAGTTCCATCTCAGGGACATCCTGCCGCTGCCGCGAACAGATTTAGGTCTGTTCCTGACTGACTTGTGTGACAAACTGGGGTCTCAGTGACATCCTGCCGCAATAGATTTAGGTCTGTTCCCAACTGACTTGTGTGACGAACTGGGGTCTCGGGGACATCCTGCCGCTGCCGCGAACAGATGCTTGTCTGAGAACTGGCGTCTCCCGGCGACTGACAGCCCCCCGCCGCCCCGACTGACATTGCCTTTCCCCCAGACTGACGCCGTCTCCCCTCCCCTCCATCTGACACCCCTCTTCTGACAACCCCCCCCCCCTCTGTGTGTCAGCAGTGAGAGGAAGAAGCGCGGCATGCCGCTCCACCAGGTCAGCATAGAGTCGCCGGGACCCACCATGAAGGGGTGCGTCTTCAACTTCGACGTGCCCATGCCGGAGGTGCCGCCCTCCGGCGCCCGGATCAGGGTGAGTCGCAGCGGCGCCCTCCGGAGCCCGGGTCAGGGTGAGGTGTGGCCGGCGCCTTCCGGAGTCCGAATCAGGGTGAGTCGAGTCCCAGCGGCAACCTCCGGAGCCTGGGTCAGGGTGAGGTGTGGGGCCGGCACCCTCCGGAGCCCGGGTCAGGGTGAGTCGAGTCCCAGCGGCGCCCTCCGGAGCCCGGGTCAGGGTGAGTCGAGTCCCAGCGGCGCCCTCCGGAGCCCGGGTCAGGGTGAGTCGAGTCTCAGCGGCGCCCTCCGGAGCCCGAATCAGGGTGAGTCTGAGCGGCGCCCTCCGGAGCCCGGGTCAGGGTGAGTCGAGTCCCAACGGCGCCCTCCGGAGCCCGGGTCAGGGTGAGTCGAGTCGCAGCGGCGCCCTCCGGAGCCCGGATCAGGGTGAGTCGCAGCGGCGCCCTCCGGAGCCCGGATCAGGGTGAGTCGAGTCCCAGCGGCGCCCTCGGGAGCCCGGATCAGGGTGGGTGAGTCCCAGCGTCGCCCTCCGGCGCCCGGATCAGGGTGAGTCTGAGCGGCGCCTGGCTGGGTGCCCTCGGGGCCCCTGTAGTGGCCCACACCCGAGCCGGAGGGTGTCACTCAACCAAGGCAGACATGTATTTTTGTTGAATTATGCGGCAGGCGTACATACATATGTAGGTGGTAGCTGCCACTGCTGAACGTCTTGCTGGCTTGGTTTTCACGCTTGACACGATATGCTCAGATGCTTAGTCTGGAGTTGGTAGGTCAGAATCAAATTGAAATTTGGAGTCACTACTGACTGAATACCGATGACGACCCATTAGTAGTGTTGAGTAGTGGACACTGGACAGCGGACACCCCTGCTCCTGTGGTTGCTGATTTAACCCGCGCACCGACGGGGGGGGGGGGGGCGGATATCCGCCCCCCTTGAGGTTTTTCGCGAATAGCGGGAAAACCGGAAATTTGGTATGACTATAACCTCATCAATTTTACACATGGTGTGCAAGTTTGAACTTCCTACCTTTTAAGGTCAGGTCACCAGGTCACTTTGAATGACCCAGCCTCAAGTCACTTTTTTGCAACTTTGTCACCGTGCCACAGCTACAGTAGATTTCGGAGGCCTTTGAAAGTCGCAGGATATTACTAGGTCATTAGTAGCTACAATTTGTATATCTCGGAATTTTGATATCGGTGACCTAAGGTCAGGTCAATTTCGCGACCTCCCCATTATAAGTCAATGGGGGAAAAATCAACTCCCTGTTTTTACCACTAAAACGGGTCGGAATGGCCCCATATACTTTACATGACTTCATATACGATCAACCTTCACTACCTTGAGGTCTGTTTTGCTGTTGGGCAGCTGTGAGGTCATGTGACGTCATCAAAGGTCACCAAAGGGTTTTGGCCAATAACTCCGTACAGGAACAAGATACAGACGCGTGGATGGTCTCATTGTGTTCAGCTCGTCAAGACGCATCGAATGATATACATGATGACCTCGAGGTCACGCGACCTGAGGTCAACCTTTGACCTTGACCTTTCGAGGTCAACATATATATTCGATGCGGATTGACGAGAGGATCACGATGATGCCCTTAGTGTGTTCCTATCTTGACTAATTCGAAAGTTATTCGAGAAAAACTCTCCATATCTAGCGCCGCCATTTTGACTTTTTCGACCCCTGTGACGTCATCTTTGACCTGACCTGAAAATGACCTTTGTAAAAATTGTAGATCTTGGCCGTGCGTATCCGATGCCGTTTACCGCTTGTCGCTATCTTGCTTCGTTCTCGAGATCTCAGGGGGGGGGCGGTCATCCGCCCCCCCCCCGTCGGTGCGAAGTTGGCGCAGACCCCCGTCGGTGCGCGGGTTAACCTACGTATTTAACGGCTTATTTGATGACTGAATTTTCATTCATTAATATTGACTTATTTTGCGTAAAGCGCAAATAATAACAAGCGTCACACTAAGATGGATTTGATAAAATCCCAGAACTTTAAATTTTGTTTAACTCTGATCTGATCCATAATTCACAGCTCTGCAGGCAAACCTAATGAAAGGAATGAGCAGGGCTGTGAAAAGTGCATTGGGCAATGAGCGGGATGTTATGTGTTGCATCAGCCAGTGCGGCCGACATGAGCCGCCAATAAACACACGCTCGGCTTGCATCGAATTTACCGCCTCTTCTCAGTACTTTTGTGAACTGGATTTGCGTAATGTTATTTTTGCTTTTTATAGAAAACTGTCTCTTATTGAATCTTCCGTATCAATATTTTTGTTCGGTGCGGTCGTATCGTCTGCGGAGGTGTGGCAGGCGCAGCCCTCCGGCCAGTCAGCTCCGGGTATGCTGCGCAGACGCCGCGAGCCGACGGACGCCGCACCGGCCCGGCCCGGTCCGTCCCGGTCCGCCGGCGGCCGGGCGATGTGGCCTGCACTGTGCACTGTGCACTGTGCACGTGTCGCCCACTCGCGAGATGCACCGACCATGGCGCAAATCAAGGTCACACGGCGGCAGACGCTCCCTCGCTGAGCCTCCCTCCCTGTGACGACGGACACAGCGGACACAGCGCACACAGCGGGCACAGCGTACACTGACAGACACAGGGGACACAACGGGTACAGGGGACACAACGGATACAGCGGACACGGGGGACGCGGACGGTGGACGGTGGATTGTGGACGGACGGTGGACGGTTGATTATGGACGGACGGTGGACGGTTGCTTGTGGACGGCGGACGTATGACAGGACGACTCTCTCGGCCGCTATGGCAGTAGCTGAAGCTGGAGCCGGGCTTCCGGCGCCCGCAGCCTGCCGTGCCCGGAGCTGGGCTTCCGGCGCCCGCAGCTTGACGTGCCCGGAGCTGGGCTTCCGGCGCCCGCAGCTTGCCGCGCCCGGAGCTGGGCTTCCGGCGCCCGCAGGCCGCAGCCTACCGCTCCCGGAGCTGGGCTTCCGGCGCCCGCAGCTTGCCGTGCCCGCTCGCCGGCCGCTGTCGCCGGGCGGCCTGTGCACTCCGTGGCGTGACGTCATCAGATTGGCTGTGGACCGTGTACCGCCGGCGTCGGGCGTCGACTGCAGCGTGGGAGCGGCTCAGGCTGGGTTCGCTGTCAGGAGAGGTGCGCAGGGCACGGCGGCAATGGATGGCGGCCCACAGGCGACAACTGGCCGGTGGACTGCGGCAACGGCGGGCGGACGGCAGAGTATCCCTCCGACCCCACCCACGGGGCGATATAACGGCTGCAGGGTGGGCTGTGTGTGTACCTATACTGCCCACTGCGGGCGGGGCCGGGCTCAGACCCGACGGGACGCGATGACGGCGACCTGGGCAAACTGTCGATATAGTTAGCTGTCGCCGAGCTGGACTTTGGTCTAAACAGGATTCATATACGCTGCAGCTAGAATAGGTATGCTTCCTTGCTTCTTCCCTTGCTTATTCGAACTCCAGGTGCCCTGGGTGGTGCTAAGGCCCCTGTCACACATCAACTGCTGCAGCCTCACCCTATTTATGAGAGCGAGGCGTTCCTTCTGCGAATATAGGAGGAGGTGGTGTCAGTCCCGGCGCCATGGCCGGCGTCTTTGGAGGCGGGCCAGAGAGGTCGTTTGGCAGTGGGCGCCGTGCGTCCGTCGGTGTCTCTGACATGAGCCCGCGGTCATGACGCTCGGGCCCAGCTTCAGCCATGCTAACTCAACTCGGTCACCGACAGAGGCGGCCGCTGACCTCCGTCCGCAAACGGCTGTCTCGCCAGTCACTGGTCTCATGGACTCTCGCCCCGCAAACATTTTACCATGCGTAGATTCCAACATCCACATATTATATTTTCAACTTGTTCAAAATTATTGTTAATCAGAGCAAAATGATCTCAGCAGTAGACGCACTGAAGTTCATAGCGCGCTGGCTGCTGAGTTTTCCATCCGGTCCCTTCTCAGGTGCACAGGTGTATACGCGCAGTTGTGCACTACAGTGGCGAGTTTTCCCTCCGGTCAGTTACCGAACGCTTGCCACCGTGCTGAGTTTCTTTTTCCGGTGTTTTCCCCCAGGTGATGTGTGCCGGCGTGTGCTACCGTGCTGAGTTTCTTTTCCCTGTGCTTTGCCCGCAGGTGATGTGTGCCGGCGTGTGCTACCGCTCGAAGCGCTCCATGTCGATCAACAGCGGCGCATCGCTTTCCTCGATCGGCTCCGACCACTCGAGCTGCAGCAACAAGGGCGTGCGCGACACGTCGCTGTTCCCCGGTGGGTGTGCGCGACACTATACTGTTCCCCGGTGGGTGTGCGCGACACGTCGCTGTTCCCCGGTGGGTGTGCGCGACACGTCGCTGTTCCCCGGTGGGTGTGTGCGACACGTCACTGTTCCCCGGTGGGTGTGCGCGACACGTCGCTGTTCCCCGGTGGGTGTGCGCGACACGTCGCTGTTCCCCGTTGGGTGTGCGCGACACGTCACTGTTCCCCGGTGGGTGTGCGCGACACGTCACTGTTCCCCGGTGGGTGTGCGCAACACGTCACTGTTTCCCGGTGGGTGTGTGCGACACGTCACTGTTCCCCGGTGGGTGTGCGCGACACTATACTGTTCCCCGGTGGGTGTACACGTCGCTGTTCCCCGGTGGGTGTGCGCGACACGTCGCTGTTCCCCGGTGGGTGTGCGCGACACGTCACTGTTCCCCGGTGGGTGTCTGGGGACACGTCACTGTTCCCCGGTGGGTGTGCGCGACACGTCGCTGTTCCCCGGTGGGTGTGCGCGACACGTCGCTGTTCCCCGGTGGGTGTGCGCGACACGTCGCTGTTCCCCGGTGGGTGTGCGCGACACGTCGCTGTTCCCCGGTGGGTGTGCGCGACACGTCACTGTTCCCCGGTGGGTGTGTGCGACACGTCACTGTTCCCCGGTGGGTGTGCGCGACACTATACTGTTCCCCGGTGGGTGTCTGGGGACACGTCTCTGTTGATTGTTCCCGGTGGGTGCCTGGAACTGGAAGTGACGCTGGGAAGCCACGTTTGAATCAGAAGTATCAAAATCTGTTTCTCGTGAATCGGATCAGCCGTTAACAATGACGAGCTCAGGTGCTATAGGACACCGGGCGCCTGCATTTTATCATGTCTGGGATGTTACTAGCTCTTACCAATATGTCCACTCACCCCGTCTGGGACGTCCCTGACCAGTGGCGGTGTGGCGCTGCGGGGCGTTGACCGTTGGCCGGGTCACTGGGAACGTGCTGAGTCCCTGGCACAGTAAACTATGTAAACGCGTTACGTTACACACACGTCTGGCCATTGCTCAGTTTCCGGCGTAATTTTAGTAAATGTCTTCTCCCCTCGACCTTCTGGCGATTAATGTGCCGAATCGGGCCGCGCTGGACTATTGCTGTTGGCTCACGTCCTACAACTTGTTTGACCTAAGATTTAGGCAGCCACCATCCATTTTAAAACAACTTAACAATGATAAACCCAAATACGAAATACGATATATATGTAGACTTGTTTTTGACATTTGTACAGATAAGTGCAATACTTGTTATTGTAATGTTTGACTAGTTGACCTACAGTTTGACTAGTTGACCTGTAATATGCATGCGATGTATGTTGAACACTGAGATGCCAGTTTCCCTAGCTACCAGTCTTTTCTATAGGCCCTATCAGCTATGGTTATGTATTGGCAGGCGCTAGCTGCTAAAACGCGTGATAACAACCCTCTGAGACGACCTACGGATGATTGTGCGGCACGGCTCGGTAATGAACGCCGGCCTTGTGTTGCAGGTTTCGAGGTTGCCGGTCAGATTGAGAGCTTCGGTGAAAATGTGGATCCGAAATGTGGTCTGAAGGTCGGCGACAATGTCATTGTGTACCCGTACATAGGATGTCCCGAAGGGTGAGTGACAATGTGCATTTTTTTGCAGTTATTTGCTGTTTATCACCAATGAAAAAAATACTTATATAACCTTGATAACTTAACGGCTTTATTCATTCACCACGCCGTTCTAAGAAATGTCTAGGATGACTATGAGATGACCGTGAAGGCTGTGTTTCTGATAACAAAGCGAGCACGTTTCTCGGCGAAACGCTGCTCTGATGGGTCTGTACCTGGGTGAGCTCCCTCCCAAGGCGAGGGTGACAGAGGCCCTCTGACTGCCCTCTATCTGTCCCTCTGACTGTCCCTCTGTCTGTCCCTCTGTCTGTCCCTCTGTCTGTCCCTCTGTCTGTCCCTCTGACTGTCCTCTGTCTGTCCCTCTGACGGTCCTCTGTCTGTCCCTCTGACGGTCCTCTGTCTGTCCCTCTGACGGTCCTCTGTCTGTCCCTCTGACGGTCCTCTGACTGCCCTCTGACGGTCCTCTGTCTGTCCCTCTGACTGTCCCTCTGTCTGTCCCTCTGACGGTCCTCTGACGGTCATCTGACTGTCCTCTGACTGTCCCTCTGACGGTCCTCTGACGGTCCTCTGACTATCCTCTGACGGTCCTCTGACGGTCCTCTGACTATCCTCTGACGGTCCTCTGACGGTCCTCTGACGGTCCCTCTGACGGTCCTCTGTCTGCCCTCTGTCTGTCCTCTGACTGTCCCTCTGACTGTCCTCTGACTGTCCCTCTGACTGTCCCTCTGACTGCCCTCTGTCTGTCCTCTGACTGTCCCTCTGACTGTCCTCTGACTGTCCCTCTGACTGTCCCTCTGTCTGTCCCTCTGTCTGTCCCTCTGACTGTCCCTCTGTCTGTCCCTCTGACTGTCCCTCTGACGGTCCCTCTGTCTGTCCTCTGTCTGTCCTCTGTCTGTCCCTCTGACAGTCCTCTGACGGTCCTCTGACGCCCCCCCCCCGCCGCCGACTCCCGACAGGTACGCCGAGTACGTGGCCGTCGAGGACGTCCAGTACCTGGTCAAGGTGCCGGACGAGGTACCCATGCCGGTGGCCTCCATGCTGCCCAGCGGCGGCCTGTGGGCCATGAACTCTGTGTTCACCGCCAGACAATACGTCGAGAAGCTGCTGAAAGAGCGCGGCGACAAAGGTAACTACACACAGAGCTGTAGCTGTCTGCTCTCATCCTGACGGCTCTGTCCTTGAAAGCTGTGGGATATAGAAGTCTCTGGCTTTCTGGTTACATGAACTCATTCTCTAGTGTGCCGACGTGCGGTTAGTGTATCAATCCCGGTGAAGTCGTCGAGACGAGTGCTAAAAATCGCCTCCGTGAGGTATCTGTCCGATTATCGAGGAATGCAGCAGCGTAGCCATCGTGATATGCGATGGCTCGCAGTTCCTTCCTGGCGGCAGCTTATGTGGGTCTGTGCCACCTTTTCGAGGTCGTAGCCGTCACATTCTGGATAGGCTTTTCCGTCTGATTTGCGGAGGGCACCGGGGTCAGTCGAGACGTCCTGTCTGGGCGGGCTGGGCTGGTTGCTGGTTGGACTGCCAGGCCCACCTAACCCTGTCTCCCGGCCCGATGTGCCAGAGAGGTCATGGCGAGCCACAAATAGGTGGCCGGCGCGAGACCCTGCCGGCCCTGCCACCCGGTGACAGGGCGCCCGCACGCCCCGTGACAGGCGAGCTAAATCAGGCCGGCGGCCGGCGCGACGGCCTGTCCTGGACCCTGCGCCGATCGGGGCCCAACGACAAGCCGGCCTCAGATGCTCAGTACTTATTTGACCTTTCCCGTTCGGTGGCGTTAGTTTAGTACACCAGTGGTATTGTGAGATTCGGCCTTTTAAACTTTAAACAAGTTCTACTGGTGCTGGTGGTTAAAATCCGATCTGAAAATATGGTCTGCACTATCCGAGCTGTCGTTTCCCGGCCACTGTCGAATCGTCTCTCACGGAGGGTGATAGAGGCGTGCTTCTGTCGCCAACACTGTGTCAGCTATGGCTGATTTCGGGAAGACACTGGCACGATTCGCTGTAGCGTTCTGTCGGGGTCTGGTTGAGTTTGGCTGATGCAGATTGGTATCCGGGGTGCTGATCGGTGGGGAACCGGAGGTCCCCGCCGATCAGCTCCTGTTCCCCCGGCGGGACCCGGAGGTCCGTCAGCTCCTGTTACCCCGGCGGGACCCGGAGGTCCGTCAGCTCCTGTTCCCCCGGCGGGACCCGGAGGTCCGTCAGCTCCTGTTCCCCCGGCGAGACCCGCAGGTCCGTCAGCTCCTGTTCCCCCGGCGGGACCCGCAGGTCCGTCAGCTCCTGTTCCCCCGGCGGGACCCGCAGGTCCGTCAGCTCCTGTTCCCCCGGCGGGACCCGGAGGTCAGTCAGCTCCTGTTCCCCCGGCGGGACCCAGAGGTCCGTCAGCTCCTGTTCCCCCGGCGGGACCCGGAGGTCAGTCAGCTCCTGTTCCCCCGGCGGGACCCGGAGGTCCGTCAGCTCCTGTTCCCCCGGCGGGACCCGGAGGTCAGTCAGCTCCTGTTCCCCCGGCGGGACCCAGAGGTCCGTCAGCTCCTGTTTCATCCAACTTGTGGACCCGGAAGCCATTCAGTCACGTCAAGAACCGGCCGCTGTTGTGTGCGTGAGGTCCGGGTTATGGGTATAGGGCTCCCTCCCAAGCCACATGGTTTCCGGCTAGGCAGGCCGCTCCAGACCACCTGTTCCCTGGTTCAGCCCCACCGGCGGGCCGCCGCCTCGTCAGACAAGACAAGGACCTGTTCGTTACCCAGGACTCCTGAGTCATGTAGATACTAGGTACCCTCCACCTTGCAGGCTGTTCGCCGGTCCCTGTGTGACAAAGCTGACGTGCTAGGGTCGCCTTTAACAGTGTTTGTTTTTTCTTCCATTTCATTACGTCGTTTCATTGTCAGGAGATTTTGTCCTCGACTGAGCATCGACTGAGCAGTTGGTGAGAGTAGCATCAGACCCTTCGGTCATCAGCCCGTTCTTTCCTGGACGGACGGGCCGGTGTCGCTGACCCCGCGCCCCACCTGCCATGTCGGCCGTCGCTGGGTGTAAATATGTGTGGGTGTTTATATGGTGTTTGTTTGTATGCTGTGTGTTTGTATATTGTGTTTGGTGCACCCTCGGCAGGCAAGGTGAACGTTCTGGTGGTGGGCACGGGCGGCCTGGCGCTCTGGGCGATCCGGATCGGGCGCCACTACTTCCCCGAGTGGACCGAGGGCCAGGCGGTGCGACTGACTGTGGCGGTGCTGCGTGACGAGGGCCTGCAGAGCATCACCGAGCAGGAGCACCAAAAGTGAGTGGGCGCCGCGACCCGCTGCACCGGCGGCCCCACTGACCTGACACCACCGTCCCCGACAGCTGCTCTAACCGTATATACTGACTGACGGCTGGCCAAAGTCGGGAGTCGCACTGACCTGCCCTGAACCGACCCGCGTTCTACACACCGAGGGCCGAGGGGCCTAGTGGGGCTGGTTACGAACCCCTCGTCATTTCGCAAATGATTTAGATGGGGCTTCGTGGAAAAGAGAGGATGTCTGCCGTTACGAGGCGCAGCGACGGGTACCAAATTTTAAGCTTTAAGACCACTCACGGGCGTAGGAACGTCATGAAAAGTGGGTGGGCCACCCTGTCAAGGGGCCTCCTTTTCCAGGGGGCCTCCTATTTTCAGGGGCCTCCAACCTTTTCCTCGTCCTGCTGGCTGCTTTCAAGTATGACCTCCAAATCTAGCTTCTGAGATCGGGCAGATGTACCCAGGGGCGTAACCGCTTAAGCGAACAGTGCGGAAAGTCGGCACCATTTTTAAAACTTATTCCCCCTCCGATTTTTTTTTAGAATCTATTTGCCGCAAACGGCGCATGACCCCTGAAAACCCTTGTACAAATGTCTTCCTCGTTTCCCAGGTGCCCCCATTAGCTTCATAGGCGCCCTCTTTGGCATATAAGCGCCCTATGTATAGTCATCAGAGACATCCCTATATGTCCCACAGTCCCACAGTTGTCGCATACAATGTGCGCTTATCATAGGCGTCTATCTTTTATGGGCACTTGAAGGCGCCTCCCTTTGCCATGCCGGCGCCCTTGTTTCTTACGAATGCACCCCCGTCCCCCATGGCATTGATCATTGATCAATTGCAGTCGCAGACCTCTATTGCATGTGGACGCCCATATATATGTATGTAGGTAGGCCTCAGAGGCACCCCTCTTTCGCATTGAGGCGCCCGCTATGGGCTTCATAGGCGCCCCTCTATTGCACGTAGGTGCCCTACTGTCTCAGAACCGCTCCCCTTTGGCATGCAGACGCCCATCTTTCGACGGAGGAGCCGCTGTGGTTCTTAGAGACGGCATGTTGCTCCCAGACGCAGATGGGGCTCTCGGAGTCGACAGTGTGGGACCTTCAGTCGCTGACGGGTGCCCGCCAGATGTGGACCCTCGGAGACGCCGGTATGGGGCCCTCAGAGATGCCGGTATGTGGCTCTTAGAGACACCGGTGTGGAACCCCCAGATACTTCAGTGTGAAGTCCTTACAATTGCTGGTGTGGAGCTATGAATGCGCTGGCTTAAATCCCTCAGAGGCCGGTACATGGACATTAAAGCTCAGTGAGAGCTTGTGTGGTGCCTTCAGTGGCCTTGTGGAGCCGTTAGACATCAACATAGTGCTCTCAGGAGCCGGTGCAAGTCCTCAGAGTCACCGGTGTGGGGCCTTCAGAGCTCCGAGATACTGGTGTGGGGCCCTTAGAGGTGTCGGTGTGGGTCCTTCAGATGTACCTATAGAGCCTTGAGATGCACAGGTGTGGTGGCCCACAGAGGCGCCGGTGTGGGGTCCCCAGAGCCACCGATATAGGGCCCTAAGAGACACTAGTATGACCCTCAAAGGCGCCGCTGTGTGGCGCTCATAAACACTGGTGTGGAGCCATCACAGGCGGGTGGAGCCGTTAGAGGCCGGAAGGGGCCCTTAGATGCCTACAAGGAGCCTTCAGAAGCCGGCGTGGCACCCTTATGGGGATAAGCGTGTCTACTTAGGAGCCCTTGAGGTGCTCTCATGAGCTCTGTGGGGCCCTACCGAGCCGAAATATGGCCACGGCCAGTTGCCGCCGCATGGCTCTTCGGACTATCATTCTCAGGGGCCTCATCTGCCTAGTTTGAATAGAAGGGCCTCTCAGACAATCAGTCTCATGGGCCTCCTCTGGCTAGTATAAATAGAAGGGCCTGTTGTCTTCTGGTTAGTATAAATAGAATAGCCTCTCAGACCATTAATCTCAGGGGGCTCCTGTGGACAGTATAAATAAAAGGGCCTCTCAGACCATCAGTCTCGGGGGCCTCCCTAGAAAAGTGTAAATGTGGATAGAGGGCCCCCTCAGATTCATTAGGAGTGGACCTCTCTGACTATCAGTCTCAGGGGCCTCTTGTGGCCAGTATGAATATACCTAAGAGCCTCTCAGACCATCGGTCTCAGGGGCCTCTTCTGACTAGTTTGGATAGAGGGCCCTCCCAGACCACCGGTTTCAGGGGCCTCCAGTGGCCAGTTATGTGAACAGAAGGGCCTCACAGCCATCAGCCTCGGGGGCCTCTTCTGACTGGTGTGAATATGAGGGCCTCTTATACCATCAGTCTCAGGGGCCTCCTCTGCCTAGTGTGAATATAAGGGTTTCCCAGGCCATCAGTCTCAGGGGACTCTTCTGACTGGTGCCGGATTGAGGGACCTCCCAGACCGAAAGTTTTGGGGGTCTCAAGTGGCCAGTATGAATAGAAGGGCCTCTCAATCCATCAGTCTCATGGGCCTCTTCTGCCTGGTGTGATTATAAGGGCCTCTCAGGTCATCAGTCTCAGGGGCCTCCTCTGGCTACAGTGTAGATGGATAGGCCTACCAGACCATCAGTCTCAGGGGCCTCTTCTGACTATTGAGGATAGAGGGGCCTCCTCTGACTAGTGAGGGTAGGGGGCCTCGGCTAGACCGCCAGTGTCAGGGGCCTATTCTGACAAGTGTGGATGGAGGGGCCTCCCAGATCACCAGTCTCAGACCTCTGACTAGTGTGGATATTGGGGCCTCCTCAGATCCACTAGGGCCTCTCAGGCCATCAGTCTCAGGGGCTTCGACTGACAAGTATGAACAGAGGGCCTCCTTGGATCCATCACGGCCCCTTGGAGTCCGTGCGTGGGGATTCGTGGAACTTATTTCTACCGAGTTTGTTTATTCTGGAAGGTGACGACGTCCTCTCAAATCGAGACGAGGGGCCTCGAGTAAAAAGTGGGTGGGCCAAAACACATGGTTGGCCCCCCACCTCGAAAAGTGGGTGGGCACTTGCCCACCTGCCCCCCCCCCCCTGTTCCTACGCCTATGACTAACCACCAGAGGTCAGGTATACCGGCTTTCAACTCGAGCTTTGAACCTTTTCGTACGCAGAAATTGCGAAAACCATCACGGGGCTATCACCAAGCCCCCCCCCCCCCCGTGGGGATGGATAAGTTTGTGTCAGAGGTCCATGATTCAACTTTTCTGGTTGTGCTGACTACTGTGTTGATCCGCCGGGATCCTGATGCAGGTTATAGCTGTCCCAGGTGTTCGATCGCTGAGTTGATGGTGTTCCCGGCGGCTGGCTGTGCTCTGTTCGGACGCTGGTTGCTGATGCTGTTTTCGGTTGTCCTGTGCTCTGTTCAGCCGCCCTTTATACTGATGGTGTTTTCGGCTGTGTTGTGTTCGGCCGCCCTTTGCTGATGCTGTTTTCGGCTGTGTTGTGTTCGACCGCCCGTTGATGATGCTGTTTTCGGTTGTCCTGTGCTCTGTTCGCGCCGCCCCTTGCTGATGGTGTTTTCGGCTGTGTTGTGTTCGGCCGCCCGTTGCTGATGCTGTTTTCGGTTGTCCTGTGCTCTGTTCGCGCCGCCCTATACTGATGGTGTTTTCGGCTGTGTTGTGTTCGGCCGCCCGTTGATGATGCTGTTTTCGGTTGTCCTGTGTTTTGTTCGGCCGCCCGTTGATGATGCTGTTTTCGGCTGTGTTGTGTTCGGCCGCCCGTTGATGATGCTGTTTTCGGCTGTGTTGTGTTCGGCCGCCCGTTGATGATGCTGTTTTCGGTTGTCACAGCGCCACCGACATGTCGGAGGAGCCCGGAATTCACGGCCGGTACGGCTGCAATGCGTTACCCCGCTGCGTTACCCCGCCGCGTTACCCCGCTGGGTTACCCTGCTGGGTTACCCCGCTGGGCTGGCCTCTAACAGCACCAGACCCACTAATCCGCGGAGGGCTCGATCGGTCGACCTCACTAACACACACCTAACGTCCAGCGTGTCTCCGGGATGCAGACTGTAGTTGCAGATAACGGATGGATGTCAATCATGGAGGCAGGGACGACATTTTTCCTTGTACATATATGCTTCATTCCTGGTAATTGGTGTACGTGTCGGTGTGACAGTTCCTGAATGTCATGCATAAAGTAGTGTCATTTGTAGTTATACGGCCTGACCGAAGTCCTTTGTTTTAACATTGAGTAGGCATTGTCCGTCCTTAGCTAACTCATGGCCCGTAGCTTTTCGGTGCTAACTTCCCTCGGGGCGTGTCTCCTTACCCGATTGTGGGACAGGCCGTCTCCGGCTTTGAAGGGCACGGTAAATGTTGTCATCTAAATTCTCCCGTTACCTATAATTGCGCGATCGGACGGCAGGGGTCGCAGTCTGCGCAACAAGCTCTGCTTAGCATGGGCTCCTGCTCTGTCAAACCGTCCATTCAAACATTCGAACTAAATTTATTAAAAACAATGTGAGGTTGGGCAACTTCTTAGTCTTCCCAAGAAATTCCCACCTATAAAATGTTAATTTTCGATTTGTGCTCAGTAAATACATGGAAATTGTGTCGACAAAATGTCTATACTTTGATGACGTCACTGGATGCAGCTGGTACTCCATGTCCTTACAATAGAACAATTGTAAGGACATTGAGTTAACGTGTCAACAAAACTGGGATGAGGGATCACTTTGTTTTTCAGTGTCACCGAGGTCAAAATCGAATAAGCGCTTCTGTCTATGTTAACTATAGGGGAGAGCGGGGAGAGTTGTATCATGTCCAAGTTGTATCTGGGCGAATTGTGCCAAACTTATCCAATGGATGGCGCTCGCGACACGACCAGCCGACGAGGTTTTCCGGGCGCCAACTTTCCCTGTTCTGTCTTGTGGCTGAGTGGACGCGTCTCGAGGTGAGAGCCGATTTTATGTTTTTTTAATGTCATTCTAAAAAATGAGTTGCAAGAAAATGTGTGTTTTGGGCATTTAGATGTGCACGAATTTGAAAGATCTCCGTAGCGGTGGTGAGGGTGGGTTCTAAGGCTGCGTGAGAGAAAACGGATTTCTCCAGCTGTCCGCTGTTTTTTGAGCAGGAGGATGTTTTTTCCAAGATGGCGGCGAAGTACATGTTGTATCAGAGCCGGGTGGGGTATGTTGTAACATGTATGTATGTATGTATGTATGTATGGGTATGTTGCTTTTCATCGCGAAAGCTAAGCCCTGGCTCGCGTTTGTAGGTAGCTAGTCAAGGCTCGTTCCATTTCGGCACAATGTGTTGGCTTCTTTGCTCTTAACGGGCCACTTTTGCGTCTAGTCTGTTGATGTTTCTTTCGGATTGCATTAACCTAAGTTTGGTCTAATAAAGTGAAGCCTTTGAGCATACCTACACATTGTATTAACCCCATTTAATGTTGTTGTTATGTTCAAAACCAGTAGCAAGCACACTCCCTGAAACGTGAAATAGTGATACAAATTACCCCACCATGTGATACAACTCACCCAAGCCATGGGGCAAGTTGTATTAAAAACATTGTTCTATTCGGGAGACCGTAGTAGAAAAACTGGTAGAGGTAGCGGAAAAGTTACTTTGCACAAAAAAGCAGAAGAATCAAGGAAGGGGATAGTATGGAAATAATGAGTTTATCACGGATAGTTACGAGGTTATGGGTCTCGGAGTAAAAACTGATACAACCCACCCCACTCTCCCCTACATGGTAGATAATGCAAGTTGCACAGGATGACATCATCACTGTTCTAATATTTAGTTCCAAAACGCACAGATGGAACTAATCGCTTGAAGGTTGACTTTTCCTCAACGCTTCTATTACTTCCCTGTCAAAAATGCGCTTTCGTGTTAAGTTTCACTATTTACGTTATCGGGGGGGGGGGGGGGGGGGGGGGAGGGGTGTGTGTTCCGAGTTTCGCACGGGTGCCGGCTGGCGCCGCGTCCGAGCAGCGTTTGACCATCTCGCCGCCCCCGGCAGGGTGAACATCGTCCAGTGGAGCGAGGACTGCTACGAGACCCAGCTGATCGAGCGAACCATCAACGCCTGCGAGGGCAACGTCGACATCATCATCGACTTCGCTGCCAACCCGCGCTCCATGAACCGCTCCCTCAAGTGCCTATCCAAGGTGAGCTCCCTGAGCCGCTCCGTGAACCGCCCGGTGAACCACTCCATGAACCGCTCCATCAGGGCCTCGTTTCATAAAAGGAATTACTTACGGCGTTCCGTCAATTATGCCAGATTTGGCGTATTTGATGCCAATTCGGTTTCATAAAGCCGGAGACCGGAGTAATTCACGCCATCGAAAGTATGGAGCTTCATTTACGGCAAATGCTAGATTCCGGACCAATTGATGCCATTTGGGTTTCATAAAACGACGTAATTAACGCCAAATATTTTATCAAGCTCTTGATATCAGTGGTGTAAACTACGCACAAAAATGTTGCGTGATTTTGAATTAATGTGAAGATTCGAAGCTAATTTTTAATATATTTTATAATGTTGAGCCCGGTGAGGAAGAAAGAACAGCCAAAATGAGAAAAAGAAACTGCAAATCTTCTGTACCAGTCGCTTTTTGTGGCCACTATAGGAATTTTGTTTATTCGCCGCGCCGCGCCACTTTCGTAGTTAGGCACTTCTGCTTAGCTGGCTTTCTGCTGTTTTTAATATATTGTTTTAATAAAGGATGGTCATCAATATCAATTTTGTTTTTTTCATAAAATAATTTTTAAGATTTAAATTCAACATAATTGTTTTATAAATTCTCGTAAAAAATAAGTGTTGACATGAAATTGTAATTTGTAGGACGCTTGATAAATTACGGTAACTACGCAAATGTGCTTAGTTACGGAGGTGTAAACAATTCCAGTTGTGGCTTTGTGAAACGGATTTATTTGCGCTCCGTAGTTTGAAAGGGTGTGAATTACGGAAAAGTGTAAGTTACGGCAGAGCTTTATGAAACGAGGCCCAGGTGTCTATCCAAGGTGAGCTCCGTGAGCCGCTCCGTGAACCGTGAACCGCCCAGTGAACCGCTCCGTGAATCGCTCCATGAACTGTCCTCCCCGTGAACCGCTTCGTGAACTGCTTCCTCAGATGCCTGTCCAGCCATGAGAGCAGATCGCCCATCTAACCTGACATGATCTCATGAGTTGCGATCAGCTACAACCGTCCGTATGTTTGACTGCCGCCTATAAGCGTGTTGAATATCGTCTGTAAATGTGTTTTTGCGGCAGCAGGGTGGTGTGTAACTGTGTTTGTGTGGCGGCAGGGTGGTGTGTAACTGTGTTTGTGCGGCGGCAGGGCGGTGTGTAACTGTGTTTGTGCGGCGGCAGGGCGGTGTGTAACTGTGTTTGTGCGGCGGCAGGGCGGTGTGATCGTGATCGGCGCCGAGACTGCCCAGCGCTACGTCAGCCGGTTCGAGAGCGTGGCGCAGGCCAGCGATCAGACCATCGTGCCCGTCGAGATGGGCTCCCTCGAGCAGCTGCACACACTCGTACATCTCATCGCCTCCAAAAAGGTAAATAACTAACGGCGCACCGACCCGGCAGACACCGCCAGGTGCTCATAATTAACCCGCGACCTGGTGGGGGGGGGGGCTATTTTTTGCCCCACCCCCCCTCCAGACTTTTCGCTATATCTCCAGAACTGCTGCGCCGATCGTCACCAAACTTTCAGTACCCTCCCGGACATCAATTTTACACATTGTGACCAAAAATTTTTCCAAAGGCTATGATAGGTTGGCCGGAAATGACGTCAGAGTGACGTCATGTTCTGCCGTTTTCGACCCAAAAAAGGGTTTCGCGGGAAGAGCTGTCAGGCCTATAGCTTTGCAAATACAGAAAAAATGATAAAACATAAAAGATGTAGAATCAACAGGGCTACAAAACTGCCATCTCGGATTTTTGAAATTTTTGGATTTTGACCCCCAAAAATCAAAAAGTAAATTTTTTGGATATAATAATCGAAAAATCCAAAAAGTTTTTTGAATTTCGCAAAAACCGGAATATATGTGATAGTCCTTACCGCCTTCCATCCACATACCAAATTTGAGATTGATACCTCTTTTTTTGGCGAAGTTATAGCGAAAAAACTGTTCAAAATTGATGACGTCAAATTTTCAAACTCAATTTTTAGCAATTATAGACCCCGTAGCGCAAAACAAAGACCACCATTAGACTCCCCGTGACGAGCGGCATCGAATCAATACCCATTTTATGCAAAACTATCAACTTTAAAATTTGACCTTTTTTGGCCTGACCTTGACCTGACCTTGACCTGAACTTCACCAGAAAGTGACCTAAGCCGTAGCTGATAGTCTTATAACCAACACCATTGAGTTGGAAATGAAAAATTGGCCATAAAACATGCATCACACAACCTTAGTAAAGTTGGGCTGACCCTTGGTGACCTGACCTGTGACCTGACCTGGTATTGTCAGTGACCTCTAATAGCAACATATCTACTAGGCAACTGACGCCCTATCGCTGATTCTCGACAAAATGCGTTTTCCTCGGTGTTATAGCGCATTTCCTAGAAGACCCGTGAACGGTGAAACATTTCATCTTTGACCTGACCTGTGACGTCATCGGTGACCCCGAGGTCAATGAAATTTGGTTTCCTTCGACAAATTTGACAGGCCTTTCGAACGCCGTTTGAATTTTGCGGATCCGTCCAGTAGTTTCGGAGATACGAGGGGGGGGGCAAAAAATAGCCCCCCCCCCCACCAGGTCGCGTTATAAACAGACCCCACCAGGGCGGTGGTTAATTGATGCTAGTAAATAATCTTATATTTTCATGCTTCGTTTACTTTTCATACATTATTTTGCTCGCGACTAAGCTTGTGTTTGTCTTTTGTGTATGACGTTTAAGCATCTTACGTGACTAATCATTACGGAGCTGCATCACCCCCTTGCCTGCCGAGCGTTTATTTCTACTGTCGTTACGGTACCACTGTCGTTACAGTACCACTGACGTTACGGTACCACTGTCTGCCCGGGCAGGTGGAGCCGCCCCCTTACAACCTGTTCCCGTCCGACAAGGCTGAGGAGGTCTTCATGAAGCTGGGCCGCGCCAAAATCCACGGCCGCGCCATCCTGCACTTTGACCCGATCCCGGACGCCCCGGAGACGTGAACTGCGCCGGAACACAGCGGAGACCCGCAGTTGTACGGCGGAGGCGCGGCGCCACCTGTGGACAGTTGTACGGCGGAGGCGCGGCGCCACCTGTGGACAGTGTCACGGCGGAGCCGCGGCGCCACCTGTGGACAGTGTCACGGCGCCACCTGTGGACAGTTGTACGGCGGAGGTGCGGCGCCACCTGTGGGCAGTTGTACGGCGGAGGTGCGGCGCCACCTGTGGACAGTTGCGCGGCGCCACCTGCGGACAGTGTCACGGCGGAGCCGCGGCGCCGCCTGCGGACAGTGTCACGGCGGAGCCGCGGCGCCACCTGTGGACAGTTGCACGGCGCCACCTGTGGACAGTTGTACGGCGGAGGCTCGGCGCCACCTGCGGACAGTGTCACGGCGGAGCCGCGGCGCCACCTGTGGACAGTTGCGCGGCGCCACCTGCGCAGTGTCACGGCGGAGGCTCGGCGCCACCTGCGGACAGTGTCACGGCGGAGCCGCGGCGCCACCTGTGGACAGTTGCACGGCGCCACCTGTGGACAGTTGTACGGCGGAGGCTCGGCGCCACCTGTGGGCAGTTGTACGGCGGAGGTGCGGCGCCACCTGTGGACAGTTGCGCGGCGCCACCTGCGGACAGTGTCACGGCGGAGGCTCGGCGCCACCTGCGGACAGTGTCACGGCGGAGCCGCGGCGCCACCTGTGGACAGTTGCACGGCGCCACCTGTGGACAGTTGTACGGCGGAGGCTCGGCGCCACCTGCGGACAGTGTCACGGCGGAGGCGCGGCGCCGCCTGCACCCCGGCGCGGGCCGCTGAGCGGGACCGTGTGAGCGCCAGTGTTCAGCCTATGACCGAGTCGGAGGCTCCGCGGCCACCCCGCGCATGCAGGGTTTCCCGCAGGGACGGTGGTGTTCGCAATAATTTGTAGGAGCTGGTCGCCGGTGGTCGCCGGTGGTCGCCGGTGGTCGCCGGTGGTTGCGGTGGTCGCCGGTGGTCGCCGGTGGTCGCTGGTCGCCGGTGGCGGTGGCAGCGATCCGCACTGTGCGCCCGACTGTAGGAGCCGCGGAGGTGAACCGCCGATGGGTGGGTGGCCGGTGGACCGCCGATGGGTGGGTGGCCGGAGGGCCGCCGTTCGGAGTGTAAGGCCACTCCGCGGAGCCGAGCTGAGCTGATTCTGGTGCAGATGCCCTCGGGGCGGTGATAGCTGAGCAGTTGGCGCAAATGGGACCGCATGCGTGCGAGTGTATGACAGGAGAAAATGCGCTGTATTTTTGTTCGCGGAACAATGTGTCGTGGATTCCGACGAGCAGTTGGGACAACGTTAGCAGACTGTGCGCTATGTTTTGTCCGATCGTTCAAATATGCTCTTAAAAGCTTAATCATTAAGTGCCCTGGCTTTCGTAGGATTAGTTTTAGCGTTAAAGCTATTAGAGATGGATGAGGCAGTGGACCCCTGTATAGCCGCGAGGGCTCTGTGAAATCCCAAACACACGCGCCGCCGGCCGCGCTGTGAAGGCTGGACATTCGGTGTCCATATCTGCTGCATACCGTTGTAAATTGACTAAGTGTATAGGAGCGTGTCCAATACATGCAGACGACAATCGAAGTGTTCGCCTGCGTTATTTGAATGTGCGCGCGCAGCCCGGGTGTTGCACGCAAAAAGTGCAAAACAGCATATCAAAACTTTGGAACCTCAAACTACTGACATCTCATCTTAGGCTCAACGTTAACCCACGCCGTGCTGGTGGTCGTTTTCCGTGTCGTGCTGGGGGCCAGTGGGGAGGACGTTTTCTCGCCCCCTCTCCCCGTCTATAGTCTGTCTTTCGTATCTTCTACCTTCACTCAAAGATGTTTTGCCCCTCCAGCACGTTTTTAGGGTATAGTTTTCAAATCTTGACCGCATGGCCCACCACTCATTGCAGGAGTTTGTTGCTCGTGTTGGAGTTCGCCTTCGCTGCGCAGATAATATCGGAAAAGAAACCTTTAACCCTCGCCCGCACATGCCATTTTCCCATCCTAGAACGCACATGGGGGGGGGGGGTTGCCACCCCCCCCCCCCGCGCCATCTCGTTCCTGTTGGAGATAGAGCTTAGCGGTAGAGACCAAAAAGATTCTTTGGGAAGAGACGAATCCAATGATACCCAGTAAGACGAATCCAATGATAGGCCCAAGAAGGCTTTCTTGTATTATAGAAAGCCTTCTTGCGAAGGCTTTCTATAATACAGTACCTTTATATTTAAAAAAGTTTCACTTATCTAGTCATAATTGTCACAATGAACGTTCAAATACCCAGTTTTACCTTCTCAGGTCAGTCATTGACCTTCCAGGTCAGGTCAAACTAAAAAATGTTGCTGTTTTGGGTCACCGTTGGATATCAAGTGCGCTGCTTATCAAATGCCGATGACAATGCTGTTTTCTGGTGCCAAGCCAGCTAGAACCTCTTTGTCACACTACCCGACCAGAATTTTGCTGCTGAGGTCATTTCAGGTCAAGTTAGGTCAAGGTCAGTTATATGTGTTTGTATGTCTGTGTACGTCTGTGTGTATACTGATGTGTGCACCGATTGTTTTTGGGTCCATATTACATGAAATCATGATCTGAGAAGCTTTTACCAAAAATGCAGTCAAAAAACTTCACAAAAAGTAAATTCAGCTTGCCTAAAACGCAATTATCTTAGATGACCTAGGTTGACCTTGACCCTGACCTTGACCCCTGTACATCGTCGAACAACATGTTCCATGATAGGTGGGAGGTAAGACTGGCAAAAAAGGCCGAAATCAAGGTGTCAAAAGCTCACAAGGCCCATGGCAAACGCAAGATGTTGAGAATTGGCCATTTGGGTCATGACATGACCTGAAAAACAAGGTCATATCTCCAAAACCAAAAGTCACAGAAACTTCAAATTTTCAGTGGACATCAAGAAAGGATAGAGGAGCAGCTATCGAAAAATCAGCCCTCTAGCTCTAAAAATGTTGAGTGCAGAGCAGAAAGACTACCTGGGGGGGGGGATGGCAACCACCCCCCATGTGCGGGCGAGGGTTAAGCTAGAGTATCGCTTGTATTATCGTTACCACGGTTTATTGCCTGGTACTGACTACCAACCTATACACAAGGACGTTTTGCTGTTCATAGGTACTTGCATTGTGCGAAGCGCTCTTGCTAAGAACATTTAAAGAATAGTTTAAAGCTTGCACTTCCTTTTCATTGGGTAAAAGAAACTAAATTTGTTATGTGTTCTGCCATTTTTTTTCAAATGCTTAATTTATGTTTTGCGTTATTTACGTTGCGATAACTTTTACACGGACGAATAACAAAATTGTCTTAGCCCACGCCCGCTTGGGGCTCCCCAGGCAGATTTGCTTCATCTTATAGTTTTCCTATCTGCCTCACGCGATCATCCCGAAAAGTAAGAAAGATGCGAAGACGCGGGCAAGAATCGATAGCTCTCAACAATTACTTTCAGCAGTGTATGTATATAGTATACCTATACCACATTTTGCTGAGGTCAATAGTGAAGGCCACTGAAGGTCATAACTCCCGAGCTCAACATGTTTGGACAAATCTGACCAAACCTTGTCAACCGATTGAACTACAGCGCCGTCGAAACATTTTTAATTCTAGCAGCTATTAGGTATTGTCGAAAGACGAAAGCTGCTGGTGATCTTTATCGTCTGACATGACTTTTTTTTTACCGCTGGCAATCACCAACGCATTAGGGTTTATATTATGATACACAAATGCAGGTAATAACAACAATAACACTCACGTATGCATTTTTCGTATTATATTGCGCTGAAAGCATGACGGAGTTGAACTGTGCCACCACCGTCGGTGTTTCTCCGCGCCTTCAACACTTTTCTTTCTGGTATCCAAGGAAGTAAGTTCGTTATTCTGGCGATATTCGTTGGTTGTGCTCCTTCTTCACCGCCTTATTTCAGTCACCTAACCCACATTTCTTTTGCTTTGAAACGTTGAAAGAAAACATTACGATAATTTTGTCTTGTCTGAAACCAACGCCATTGCCCTTCTGTTGTTTGAAAACATAATGAAATTAGAAAGGAATAATTTTGCCAGAATAAAAATGTGATGTCACGTTTTTATGCAAATGCATTTCACTTGACAAAGAACATTGCATTTTGATTAACGAGATAGGCCAAGGGGACAGACGTTCGATCTTGCGTTCGAGATAAAAATTGACTTTGCACTTGCTTTGCAGTGGTGTTGATTTAATTAGATGTTCGCTGGAGCACGTGATTAGAGAGTTTACCGTCTTTGAGTGAAGGTAGAAGATACGAAAAACAGACTATAAACATATACATATATCATACACCACTATATACCTGGGGCCGTATTCACGTCGATTATTTTCGTAAGAATTTCCTTACGAATGACCTACTTCTTAAGCAAATTTTTTTTAATCACGTGAACTCCGTCGATAAAAACTTAAGAAGTGTCGACGTGAATACCAAATTGTACTTAGGAAAGAAAATCGACTTACGAAGTCGACGTGAATACGGCCCCTGGACTGTGCACAGAAATTAGGGACCTGCCATTAGGGCGCTAACTTTCAAGCGTCATCACAGCCAAATCATTCGCCATATGATAATGCGCTTTGGGAAGCAACACCTCTAGTCAATTTGTAGTCTTTCCTTTATCTTATTTTGGGCAAATAGTAGCGCAAACATTGAAAACTAAAGGGCATGTTTTGCCTATTTCTTTGATGATTTAACCCGGCACCGCCTGGGCTATTTCCGTACCCACGACAGCCTGGGGGGTCGGATCCGACCCCCCCCCCCCATGTTATCTCGAGAACCAATGGTCGTATCGAGCCCCACGAGGCGGCGTTCGAAAGGTCTCTACGAGACCTTCCCAAAGCACTCTTAAGATTTTAAGATTTAGGTCAACTTTCGGGTCAAGGTCAGGTCAAAGGTCAAATTCAGGGGTTTTGCATGATTACAATTAGGCTTACGGACAGCGGAATCGATAGCTGCTGCTCGAAACTCACCAAAAATGACCTCAAAGGCCTAGTGAAGGTACCATACCATGTGCGTATAGGGGTCATACTAAGTACGGGTCAAGGTCAGGTCAGGTCACGAAAGGTCACGGTTTTCACTTTCTGCTACATGGGCGTGCGACACATGTTTTATGGCTTATTTTTCACGCCGAATCCGATGGTAATGGTTATATGTAACCCCAAGTCACTGTGCTGGTGATAAGTGTGCATTGAAAGCATAAAAATCGTTTATACCATACATAACTAAACGAGGGCTAAGAAAAAAGTCAATTTTTCAACTTTTTATTTTTGACATAAAATGCACTTTTCTGGACGAGCTTTGTCCCAGGAATCTAGTGGTGCCATTTGTTTTCACATGCGATGTTCAGAAGTGCCTCTAATTCACGAAAATGCTTATGACGTCGCCATGCCCTATGCATGTTGGAGCTATTTTTTACAATTTGGGGGTCAAAAATCAAGATAGAAAGTTGAAATTTGGGGCATCTAATGTTCTAATAGAGCTCTACAACATATATTCCGTTTTTTTTGGAAATTCAAAAAAGAAATTGGATTTATTAGCTGTTTTCCAAAAAATATAGTTTTTTGAATTTTTAGGGGTGAAAAACGCATTTTATGGAAAATCTGAGATTGCCATTTTGAAGAACTTGTTGAGCTGCGTCTTTTCATGTCCTTAATTTGCAATTTGCTCTAAACCCTGAGTTTTGGCGATTTTTTTAACATTTACCACTTTTTGACTAAAAAACGCCATGTAGTTACATCACTAAAATCGATATATCTAAAAAAAAGGATTTTTTTTCTTAAAAATTACACAGGAGACGTCAAATTGATGGGGGAGAAGGTATGCCAAGTTTCAAGTAGATAGCGAAAGTGGTTCATGAGTTATTCAGGAAAAACGGAGGGGGGTCGGATCCGACCCCCCCCCCCCCAGGTGGTCGCGGGTTAACCCGCGCGGGGCTGGGGGGGGTAAATTTTACCTACCCTCGCGAATTTTTGCAATAACTCAAAAACGGCGGCGCGCAGCGCCACCAAACTCTCAGTACCTTTTTTACATCAATTTGACACGTTCCCTGAAAATTTGAGCGAAATCCGTCGGAATTTTTTTGAGAAATTGACGTTTTAGTGACGTCATGTTCGCCATTTTCGCCTCAAAAACGGCAAAATTTCAAACGCCGCTAACATCTTCATTTTTAAAGAAATCAAGACGTAACAAAAAAGGTTATACGTAATTCTACTTGTCTATCAAATGGCTATCTCGGTTTGTTGAAAATTTTGGATTTTGGCCAAACTTTTTTTCAAAAAACTGACTTTATTGGAAAAAGTATTTATAAAATCCAAAATTTTGAGTGTATCGAAAAAACCGGAATATATATTAGAGATGTGGTCTATGTGCACCTACATACCAATTTTTAGAAGAATCGGTTCAAAAATGTGGGAGTTATTAAAAATTTCATGACGTCACGACACAAAAAAATTTTGAAAAATGATTTTTTTGGAAGTTCTAGACGTTTTACGGAAACAAAAATAGCATCATTCGATTCGCCGTGAAAAACTGCATCAGATAGATAGGGGAAGTTGGGGGAACGCCGAATACT